ATCGTCCTCTGCCCTTTCTTGCTCTTTACTTAATTGACTCTTCATGTGCAACGCTTGGTTCACCCTTAGCCACTTCTTATCTTTTCAAGCTTATACGAGCCAATTACACAGCCAATTCTCAGTCTGCCAGTTCCTTACGCAGAATCAATCACACCAGCCTTTCCCTTCCTGGCTATCTTGCCAAGCCATTTTTCTCAAGTTTATACCATGTCACTTGCTCCAGTCCCTTCTGTCCCGGCCTCTTGTCAGGCCCCCCCTTTTCTCAGGCCCATGCAAACCAATTACAGGTTTTTTTTTGTTTTTTTTTTTTTTGGGGCGTCTTGTCAGGCCCCTTTTCTCAGGCCCGTGCAAACCCAATTACAAGTCTTTTTCCATGCGTATTTATTGGTAGATGGCGCACCTTCCCCCCACTCAAAACGCGATGTCCCCATCGCGCGATTGGTCCTCACTCGGAGGCACGAGACCTTTGGCCCACCAACCGCAAGTCAAGGACACAAGCCCATCCGCTTCACAAAAGGAAGAGTGATCAGTTCCTCCCCAACGGGCGACGCCTCATCCTTCTACTCGGTCCGACCTTTCTTCTGTGGCGAGCACCAATACTAAGGTTCCTCCCCACGTCTGTCAGGTAGGTCCAATCCAAGCATGCCAGGGCTTCGTCTAGCCGTAAGAGCGTTCCTCGCGAATCGTTCCTCCCGAGTGGTGATTTTCTGGATTCCGGCCTCTTCCTTTCAAGAGAGTTGGGGCTCTCGATCAGTTCGCGAGTGCAGTTAGGAAGACCTCGCAATTAGTCCCGAAACGGTTGTAATGTTTCGGCAGGGCAGTGTCAATGCCCCGTGGTGGTGGCGGACTCCACCCGGTACCTCGCCCAGCCTCTCCCCTTGGACAATGCTGCCCAACTTAGCGCGGGCAGCCATGGTCCGACCCAAACGGTCATGCCACCCCTCTATGACATGGCGTGTGGTTGGAGAGTAGCAAAATAGACTAGATGGGAATGACTTTCCTGCCCATTTGGCTCTCTCGCCCTTTGACGTTTAGGCATTCAGCAGGAGGCGCAGTTGGAAGTCCCCGACTAGAGCTCATTGTCGGAGGTGGTTCCGGACGTCCCGCACTGATCCAAGCGGTAGGTACCTTAGTCTTTTAACCCTCACCCTCTCGAAGAGGAACAGGTCGCGCTGAGACTTTCTCCCTCGAAGGGATAGAGGTCTTGGGGTCGCGGTGCATGCACTGGTATCCCCCCCCTTGATGAGGCCAAATACTAAAAGAAAAGAGAAGTTTCATTTCAAAGTTTTTTCCAAGTTCATTTCAAGTTGCCTAGGGTACCCTGTCTATGCAATGCACTTTCCAATACTCAATCCAGTTTCAACTAAGTCTCATTCTCATGCTTAATCTCAGTCCAGCGCTCATTCTCAGTCCAATGCTCAATGCAATATCTCTTCCAAGGTTGAGTCCAATATCTCTTCCAATGTCATTTACAAGGCTCAACTCTTCCAATTATATGCATCACAAGCAGCCATGCAAGGGGGACCCCAGTGCCAATTCCAAAGAATGACCCTTGTCAGGGGCCATTCCGAACAACCTGGTTAGGGTCGTTCTTTCCATTTCCAAGTCGAACAGCCTGGTTAGGCTATTCTTATCCATTGCAATCGGACAGCCTGGTTAAGACCATCCTTATCCATTTCAATTGGGCAGCCTGATTACGGTCATCCTTGTCCATCTCATATGAACAGCCTGGTTATGGTCATCCTTGTCCATAGCAATGTTAGCGCCCGAGGGGGTGGGCCTCGAGGACACGGATCCTATCTCGTCTCGGGGGTTAGAGGGCGGCCATCGTCTTGGGTTTTTTACTCATATGCTTCTTCCTTTTCCTCATGTCTTTTGTCATTCTTACATCCATCCATACATCCGACTTAGCGTCTAGTACTCAAGTTGAGGCTCGCGGCCCCAAGCAGCACTAGCCCCCCCGACCGTTCAACCACTACAAGGGGTGTTGCATCATTTTCATATTTCCCTGCCACTTTTCTGACTTCTCATATGCTTCTCAATGCTCTGGGATTGCTTGGGGTAGGTTGGATTAGGCTCCTATAGGAGAGGGTGCCTCTCTACCCATAGGTCCCCTAACCTCTCACAAGGACTCATGGAGCGACTCATTCAATCATGGATACATAACTCAAAGGAAAGACTTTCGTCATGAATGTTTCTTCCAACGTTCAAGAGTTCACATGCCGCTGCCCATAAAGTCAACCAACCCCCAATCCCTTTCTTACTACCCAAAAAGCTCATATTTCCCAAACGGAGCGAATACTTATACAAAGTAGCCCTGATCACCCACCCTCTACTAGGTCCCTCAATCCAAAAGGTAGTTTCATTGCAGTCCTTACAAGGAAAAATAAGGAGACAGAGTTCGAATGCACATACAACATTACAGACTCGTCTTCGTCTAGATCCCCGCTGTTTCCCCTTTTTCTTTCCATTAATCTACCCAGCCATCCAGAATTTTATTCTAAGTGCAAACCCTCATGCCTTTCCCTGAAGAAGCAACCATTCGTATGAAGTAGCGCTGACTACCCAGTCCTTAGTCACTTCGAGCTTAGAAAATGCATTCACAAAAAAAGTTCAAATGCGAAGTCCAAAATGGCAGTTCCGACTGCCCAGGGACCAAACCCTCCCAACTCCTAGCTATTCCTCATTATGCCTGTTGTGCCTCTATTGTCCAGGTGGCCTGCGTTGAGTCTCCCTCCTTGCGCGATCCTCCATCTCTTGCTCCATTAGCCCCTTTATCGTCTGTAGATGACGAAGCGTTTCTTCTGAGAAGAAGGTTGTTGGGGATATGTCTTCTCCCTTGCTTTTCCTTGCCTTTCATAACCCACTGATAACGCAAAATACTGGACCATTGATCGAACCAATCGCTGAACTCAGGTCCGAACTCTTCTATCCATTTGTCATTTTTCTCACCCGACTGCTCCCTTCTTCCCCGTTCTTCCCTTGTGGGCGTTGTTACCTCATCTTCCTCCTCGTCGCTGGTGAGGTCGTCCTCCTCCAACCTTGGCCTTTTCCCCGGATTCCTCTCTTCTTCACTGCAATTGTCACTTTCCGATGGGAGGACTATTGGCTCCCCTTCCCTTAGTGGCGATGCCCCCCTGGTTCCTTGCTTTTTGCCCCCCCTGTTTACAACTAGGTTGTGATCGAACCCCACATGCAACTTCCTTTTCCTGGAGCTTGACTCTCCAGCTTAAATTGACGACTGTCCCTCTTCCGGCCTGTTGATTGCATTGCTGTCATTTTCATTACCAAACTCCATTTCTTCGTTTTCTTGTTGTCTTTCTTCTTCTTGCCTGACCCTGTTCATACATAACAGTCACGGTACCCCTCATACACACGCATTCCATTCCACTTCCATTTGCGGCTTTGGAGACTTCCCTAGAACTCTTGTTTGTCCCCATACAGTTGGTAGCCCCATTATCCCTTAGAACCCTTGACACATTGTCCCAACACATAGGTGCCCCATGTAGGCAGTCCACAACATCACCCCACAAAAACTATGGTACATTGTCCCAGCACATAAATACCTCGTGTAGACAGTCCCCAGCGTTATCCCACAAAAACTATAATACACTGTCCCGTGCTCCCAGACCCACAGTCAGCCCAGGCAGTCTCCCCACGTTCCACAAAAGTCAAGACACACAAACGAACAATCCCTGTGATCATGATCACTTCCACCGGGGAGGCGGTCCAGAACTTATAGCCAGATGCCTGCCTTTCAGGCTGTCAATTCCCCAGTTTCCCTGTCTTGAGCTTCCTGTAACCATTGTTCCACCGGATCCCTGCTAAAAAATCTGGCCAGTCTCTGCCCCGGAAATGGTCCTTTTATGCTAGTACAATCAAGATCCTCAAGTTCGAACGTATTCAGTCCCACCCGCTTAGCGATCCTGTAAGGCCCTTTGAATCTCTTTCCCAGCTGCCCAGACCACGTGCTTTCGAGGGCCGAGTTTCTAACTAGCACTTTTTCTCCCACCTGGAGTGGCTCTTTCCGAATGTTCTCGACCTGGTCCCACCTTGCTTTATCCTTCATTCGGCTATCTGTTACACGGTTAACTACTTCCTTCAATGCCTCCTCATTCCTGGCGACCTGCTGGCAACGTGCAGTGATTAACTCCTCCGTGGTCAAGCGCGAATCATCGTCTAACCTGTTCCAGGTAGGGACGAGGGCCTCCACTGGGAAGTCAATCTCCCTTCCATACCATAGCTCCGCTGGAATGCATCCCGTCGTTCTCTTTGGTGTCATGTTCTCAGAGAAGAATGCTTGCTTAAGGTATCATGGCCAGTTCCCCAAGTTGTTTGCTGCAAGCTTAGCGATTGTGTTTTTCAAGGTCCGGTGCCCTCTTTCTACTGGTGCATTTGCCTCAGGGTGGTAGGGCTCAGTGATCTTGATTGATACGCACAATGTCTTAAGCCTGTTCAACACCTCCTGGTTAACGAATTTTGTCCCATTGTCTGCTATAAACCTGCGCACGAAGGGGTGTCTTAGGTAAAAATCTTCCACCCAATCGGCCACTGTTTTCCCTGTCTTCCTTTTGAGAGTCACGGCCTCTACATCGCCACTGAGGTTATCCCTTGCATCCAGAATGCACCTATACCCATCCGTTGATACGGGCATGACTGCGAGATCGAGGTGAACAAGGTGCCCTGGTCACAGTACCCAAGTGGGTCTAAGGGGCTCGTAAACCCATACAGAGCTCCTCTCTTGACATATCAAACACGTCTGACAGTACGTTGCGACCATGCCTGCCATTCCTGGCCAGAAATACAGAGGCACGATCTTTGCAAGTGTCCCTTTTGACGATCGGTCACCTCCAGCTAGCCCATCATGCATTGCTTGAATTACGTCCAGCTGCCTAGACCTCCCACAAACGACACGCCTCGACATCATCCCTTCCTCTTTCTTAAACAGATGACCATTTCTTAAGACGTACTTCTCATCTTCCTCCCTTGCCTTGGAGCTGACTTTCGTAGGCTGTTTGTTTCCTACAAGCAGCATACCGATTTCTCTAAAGACGCCCTCATACATCTGTATGAGGAAGAACTCTTGTTCCGTTTGCTTGCAGTAATATTGTAAACAAGAAACCGCTGGAGTAAGTCCTTAATATCTTGCAGGTGGTCCCAAACAAACTTCCGTACACCCGGCTCGACCTCCGTCTCGTCCTTGTACCTTGCGCCTTTCACGGGATTATCATCTATGTACGGTTCACACTTTTCCGGAAACATATCCCCTGCGACGGCGAACATCCTCCTCTGCGCCTCTGCTACCGCATTTGTAAAACCCATAGGGGTCACCAGCATCTGCAGTTGTCCTACGGGGGTGTGCATTGCGGTATACGGCCTATCCCTTGCATCAAGTGGCAACTGGTCGTATCCTGAGTACAGGTCTATCAGGGAGTAGATGTTCCGCCCCGCATGAGATTCTGCCAACAGGTCGGCCTGTGGAAGCGAGCCCGTATCCCTAATTGTTACCGTATTGAGCTTCTGCAGGTCCTGGATCCACCTGAGTGTCTTATTGGGCTTCCTGAACACGAACCACTTGTTCGCGTAGGGGGATGCGGTGGGTTCAGCCACGAAAGAATCTATCTTGACTCTACGCAGGTCGGTGATCTCCGCTGCTATCCCAAACTCATAGGCGGACCCTTTATCATTGCAACACTCGTGTTGTACGGTGTGGATCCTGACAGGGGGAACTAACTTTGCGTCCAATCGCCCTTTCTGATGATCGTTGAAGGCGAAAGCTAAATGAAACTCCTGACATGCCTTTCTTATCAACTGAGTTTCTTCCGGTGTTAGGAACCCTTCCACTCCTATTTTCATGGTATCTGCTACGTCATCTGGTATGCGATGACATTCCGTTGCGCATCTCTCCCTTATAACCCGTAGGATCTCCTCTTCCTTTTCTATGACCTCTTCTCTTGATGTTTCTACTAGGATCGAAACCGACTTGGCCTTCTTCCCTACGAGTATGTATTTTCGCACACTGCCCTCTGGGATCGTTCTCCTAAAAAATGAACGGTCGGGATTGGCCTTGCTACCTCCAAGATGCGGTGCAGGATGCTGACTAACTTCCCATTCAGACAGTAGCCCTTTTGGACCCCATCCTCAAATCTAGCAAGCGCTGCCAGGTCCACCCCCACTTTGTGGTACCTGATCGCCTTAACGAGCTGTAACAAATCTAGGATCTCAAGCACCACCTCCGACGTTTCGTTCCGGCCTTCCTTTGGCTTGGGCAAGCTGGCCCCAAGTTCGACTTCTGACTCTTTTTCTGCCACCATAACTTCCAGGGCCTGGTCCTCCTGTCGCCTTTTTTTTAGAGGCAGACCCATTTTGTTCCATTCCTTTTTACTAAACACTTCCTCAATCATAATTTCTACCCTTTCCCTCATGCCTTGCATCCGTACGAATGCGCCTTTCCGTGCGCTTTCTTCAAACGTCGGCGACCAGGTTGCCAACTTACCCTTGGGAGGACTCCTCCAGTTCCGAGGAGTCGGAGAAGTTTTCCGTGACCAGTCATTTATCCTCTTTGTCTACCATATATGTGCCATCATGCAGGTGTATGCCAATCATTTCTACATTGGCGCACCATGGTCTCCCAAGGATTATGTCATGGTCCATTTCTTCCATGACGGTCATCCGTTGGAAAGACCAGATGGATTCCCAAATTCTTGCCTTGATCGCGCATTTGGTGACATACCCAGTGCAGGGAATTTTTTCCCCCGCTCCCCGGATACTCCCTGCTACCTCCTTGTTTACTGTGCACCCTGTGATTGTTGCGAAATCCCGTCGTATGAGGGTAATTTCCGCGCCGCCATCCACTAGTGCATCGGTGTGGTGAGTTCCGACCTGGACTTTTAAGTTTTCCTACGGGCAGTGCGTGGAAACTGAGTTTAGTGTCGGGGGGTGCTCTCATTACTTCGCCACCTTCTCGGTCCGACAGACTCAGATGAATATCGGCAAAGGCTTTTTCCAAAACTTTCAGGCCTCCTGGAATGCTTTGGAGGTTAGAGACTCCTTGTGGCGCCTCAACCTCCTCGGGTCCTTGTTCCTGTGGTTCCGGAGCCTCCTCTACTTTTACACGTCTACGCATCAATAGCTGCCTGAGGCCCTTGAGCAGTCTCGGGCTTGCCTGCAACATGGTCTGGAAGGATACTGACACCATGGTGCCCAAGAGTTTGCTCAGTGTGTCATTTAATTCGGGCAGCGTCAGAATCGGAATCTGGTATCTGAACTTCTTTTTTGCCGCTGTGGCTTTGTCTACCGGTTTTTCTTCCCTCGTTTTTCCATAGACCTTCTCCTGTTCCCGGCCTCAGCTTCCTCCTGATCCGCACTAGCCCCCGCGGCTTCTTCCATTACTGTGTCTCGGATGAGCTTCTTTTCCGTGCCAGCCCGTCGGGTAGTGATATTTACCTTATCCAGCTCACTGCCTTCTAGGATAAAGTTGGTCTGTGGTCCCCGTTCCCTTGGCTAGTCCCAGTCAATCTCGGCTATCGGCTCTGCTTCTACGACAGCTATCTCTAGGTTATTCAGAAGAATAACAGTTCGCCGCATCCCTCCTGGCGAGTTCCAATTTACACGCTCCCCCCGCGGTCCGAGGATCTCGCCTTTGAGGGACCTGCTGCACCTCTGCCGCTCAATATCGTGATTGAGTCTCGGACAGGCCCATACGAAATGCCTGATCATGGTGCAATACTTACATTGTTCATTGGCGGGGTCCCTTCTGCCAAATCCCCGGTTTGCCACAGCTGCCGGAACCACGGCTTCTTGGGGCGGGAGGGCGGGTCGGGATACTTGCGCCTGCATCACTAATAGCGCGCTTTCCATTATTTCTATCTTATCGTCAACCCCATGCACCCTTTCATGAAGGCTCTCTATTCCCTTTTTGACCTTATCCCCCGTTTTGCCGGTCAGATGTATGACCTCCCCTTCCTTAAGCAGGGCTAGTGTCTCGGTGACCACTGCCTTTTTCGCAAGGTCTGTTACGGTGCTGAAGTCCACATCTCTCGTGTACTCGAACTTATTGGTCTGCTGGTATGCTTATCCTTATCAAACTCGGAGAACTGCCTGAGGAAGTATTTACTCATTATGCGGTCCATTACCCCGGGAATTCCCAGCGCCACTAACGTAAATGCTCTTAGGAAATCGTTGTAAGTCGCGTAGTTTTTCCTCTGGACTGCTGCTAATTCGGCCTCTGTTGCCATTTTCTCTGCCTTCAGATATTTCCTCATCATCTCGTTCCTGGTTTCTTTCTAGGACCCACTGGAAGCGACGATGGGCATAATGTCCCTTCCAAGCTTAGCGACACGTGTTGACCTAGGTGATCCATCTTTTCCTCTTCTATCCATTTCAGTAAGGCTGCTAGGTTCTCATAGTCTATTAGAAACTCAGTAATGTTTGCTCTATCAAACGTGAGTTTCTTCTTTGCATCTGCGAGATACCCCTGGTTCTTGTTTAGTGCCTCGGTGAGGGTGACGACTATCCTCTTGAGACCACCTTCGGAGCTACCTGCTACTTCAGCAGCACTAGTCTTTTCCCCTTCCTTGCTTTCCCTCTGCTTCTCCCTGGTTTTCGGCGTTCCTTCTGGGTCAAACCATCCTAGCACCCTTTCCCTATGGCTCCAGAGTCCGTCGCACGCCCTTGTTACTTTCGGCGTGGCTGGCAGTCGACGAGTGTCACTGTCGATAGCAGGCGGGGTCATAGCATTTTTTGTCCCCTCCGCCGGGGGGGCGTTCTTGTCCTTCCCCTTCTTGCTAGGTGTTCCTTTGTGACTATTATCCTTCTCCTCATACCTGGACTCGTCCTGACCGGTCCTGCGTCCCTCACGTGACCCTGCGCCCTGGGGATCCTCCTCATCCTCGGCCATCATCTGCTCGATAAGCCTTGCCTTAAATTCTGCAGTCTGCTTTTCTATCTCTGCCAATTTACGGCTGGCATCCGAGACTTTTGTCTTTTTAGGGGTGGCTCCTGCTGAGTTCCGAGGGCTTGTTCTCATATCGTTTCCCCCTTCCCTGTTTTCCTGAGGTCCCCTTTTGCTACCCCCAGCTTTCCCCGAGCTTTCTCCAATTGAGGCGTCCTTTCCGTCTTCTCGGGTTCCTTCCAGTTTGGCTGACTCTCGATCCCTGGTTGATCCCTCGTTTCGTTCCCCATCCCCATTCGTGCCCTGATTCCCTCCGCTCTGCTGGTCATCGATCCCTTCCTCAGTCGTCATTTCTTTACCTAGCCTGCACATGGAAAAAAAAAATTGCGAAAAAAGTGGTCGGTTGTTCATAACTGCCCCAGCCCCGGCCCTAAAACCCGCCTATTCCCATGTTTTTTGCGTCTTATATTAATCGGTCTGACTCTCCTGACTTTTCTTTCCCAGGGCGTCCTTCAGGTTTTTCTCCTGCTGGGGAACTTGCCGCCGCTGCTTGGCATTTTGTCACTGCCGCGCTTTGGCTCTTAGGGCAGTGTTTGAGCCCAGTGGCCTCCTTATCGAGGATGGCCCTTTTGGCTTTTCGACCTCCAAATGCCCCAGAGTTTTTTGGTGCGGGTGGTCTTCCTAGTTCCTCCTTGCCGTGCTATCGGTTCGGACGGAGCTCCAACCACTGCCCCCCCCCCCCTTTTTTTTTTTGTGATAGCTGCCTTCTTATCTCAGTACCCGTCCTTTATTTGCCTATTTCTTTCTGATGCATTTTCTCACGCCGGTCCTTCAGGCCCGCCTTGCTCATCCGGTTCTTCGAACAGGTCGGCCACCCCAGCAAGATAGTTTTCTCCCATCTCTATTTCCCTAACGATTATTGGTTCATACTCCTCAATCGCCAAGCGAGGCAACCCAAATATCAAAATTTCAATCAGGTCAAGTAATTCCCAGGCCTGATTACCCCAGAACGGTCCATGCCTGACTGACACGTCGTAAAACATCCCCATTGTCTGTGGTCAAAAGTGGTGAATCCAGACCAGGGTCGAATCCACTCGGTCCCTAGCCCTCTCAAGGCTGCCAAATACCAGGTTCACCATGAAGCGGGGAACTCGGCGCGCCCGGACGTCGCGACGACCCTCGTACCCGCGGCCACCCATAGAATGTAGGGGCGGATGGGAGGTATCGCTCCCGACAAGCTACAAGGTCCGAGGGATTGATACCGAATGGAGAGCCGTGACCCTGGGAAGGGACCAGGCGTTCATGATGGTTGAATGTTTGTGGGATGGTATGAGGATTAATAGGGGACCAGGGGACGATCTGTACATTGATCTCAGGGTGACGGGAACCGTATACCTGCCAGAGCTTGGGTGGCATATGTTAGGAACGAAGCTGGCACTAGGACATGCCTCTTTCCCCTTCTCTCTCTTTCTTTTTCTCGCTCTTTTACCAGCCCGTTTCTACTCCCGTCGGCTCATACAATCGGTGTAAATCATCCACGTACGTCATCCCCTGACTTCTTTCCCGCCGGACAACGCCCCATAGAACTTTATCACCTACGACCGGGGCCCTTGGCCTGGTGGTAAAAACGGCGCGCAGAGTCCGCAGCACCTCATACTTCTGCTCCCCGCTAAACGGTCTCATTTCTAGGAAGGCCCGGTAGTATTCTCGGTGTATCGTTGTGTCCTCATATGTCAGAGTGGGAAGGTCAGCTACCACGCGTCTGATAAGTTCCACTCCGCCTAGCCTTTCCAGCAGGAAGGGCGGCAGTCTCATCTGGACATTCTCATTGGGCAATTCAAAGCTCCCAACCATAGCTACCCTAAGGTTTATTGTTACATCATCCATCCCTGGGTCCGCGAATTCGATGCCCGCCTGCCACACCAACTGCCACGCCCCTTCAAACATGCTCAATGAATCTTCTAATGATGCCAACATAACTCCAAACTCCCGCCACCCATCCTCTGACATATACAACCGCCCTTCTGCACGCACATGCCCCCGCGGGTCCGGGTTCCATTCCCCACGCTCGTCCGCACGCCACTCGACTTTCGTTACTAAGTAGACCATGTTTTCCGCAAGTTCGACTCCGACCCAATCCGCCACCTGGTGCCAGCCTCCACTCGCCGCTGGCAAACTAACCTCTATCCCGCCCGGTACTTCCCTAGGCGGTTCAATGCCCACGGGACGTTCCTCGAGGAACGTCCTTCTTCGCGCCATCACGCACTCGCCTTTGATCTCCTCGCTCGCAATCCGCACTGAACCCTACAATGGCCAGACATCCCATTCCCTTATCTTAGCAATTTTTCCCATATTTGTCTGGCCCCACGGCTTTCCTGCGCTTAATCGAACCACAGTACTTCGAACAGTTTGAACACATCATCCACATAGCAAGGTGTTGCTGCTACCTCTCGGCGGATTATGGCCTCCCTAGTTTCCGGAGCCACCTCCTGTCGGTTATTCCTTTCGATATCCAGAATGATAAGGACCTCCCGGGCTCTATCGCCATGGAAGGGCCCGTATTTCAAGGAGGTCCTATAGAATTCCTCTGCCAGCCATGCGTAGTTCACGTGTATTCGCTCCATCGTGTCGGCTACCTCTATTACGTGATCAAAACCCCCAAACCAGTACGCCACGAATTCGGGCACCCAAGTCTCGATTCGGGCGCCAGGCGGTTAAAATTTCTTCCATCCTCCCATCACGACTCTATTGCTGACCGTATCCCGACCTTTGTTTGCAAACCTTTCTCCCGCCTGCCGAGCCTTTGCCTCAGCGTCCCCTAAAAGCCACATTGGGTTCTGTCCTGCCGCGAACGTTGTGCAGAACAGGTGCCAACCTTGTTCAGAGAGAACGATCGTCCCGACTGATTCCACTCTTCCTTCCGCAATCTCTTCCCATCCTTCCTCTTCCGTCAACATGTTCCAGACATGCTCTATCCATAGGTACGATAGCTCCGGCACAATCTCATACCCCTGCCAATCACATGTGGTCCCCTTCCATTCATTGCTTGGTGGTATTGACATCTCTACTCCCCTTCCGACTCGTCTTGGTTCCCATGTGCAGCCCCATAATTCGAGTTCCCGGGCCATCGCTCCCTACCTGCACATAGTCGACAACCCGTTTCTCCCAGGTAAGCCCCCCCTTCAGAAGTCCCAGTCCTCTATCTCGTCCCCATCCTCCTCATCACTGAAATCCTCCTCCTCATCTAAGAACATCTCTTTCACCCCTTCCAAGAAGGTTTCCCCCGCCGCCACGTTTCGGTAAACTATATGCCAATACACCTAACTAGGAACAAAGACTTCGTCCGCGCTGAGGAGGTTTAACACCTCAGCTAATTCTTCCGCCCAGTTTCCTTCAAACGGCCCTGCTTCCACCGACAGTTTAAAGAAGTCTTGTCTAGCACATTGGTACAGCCTCAGGCGTGTCATTGATTCGAATATACATTCCAGTCTATCCCTGGTCCCAAAGACTGCATCCACCAGAAACGGGGGCAGCACGCACCTCATTGTCCTAAGAGGACGTCTCATATTTTTCCGGTCCCCGAGTTCCACTCGCACCTCCATCCTTTCCATCTCCATTTCTGCCCGCTGACATGCTGCCCATACCACTTCCCGTTCCGCTTGCCTAAACAGCTGGTCCGGTGCCGTGCCCAATACTAGTCCCACTACCATTGCATTCTCCAATTCCTGTGATAGGTAGACCCATCCTCGAGCTTCCACTGTTCCCCGGAATTCTAAGTCCATCAGGCTAGGTGAAAGTCTCGTCAGGATGACCTTAGTCCAGATTGTCTCTATCCAGAGGAACACGTCCTTCTCGTCCAACATCACTGTTTCATACGCCGGTTCTAGGTCGGTCCACGTCCCTTCTTCCGGGACAACAACAGATACCCCATCCCTTACCTCTATAGGCATTTCCGGACCACTAGAGTAGACAGGAGGCGACAACCATCGCGCCATCTTGTTTCCCGACGCTTGTCCTGTTTTCCACATGAGAGCACCACACGGCCCCTCATGGTCAGATGGTTTGCTTTTCCGTTTCTAGATGAGATTTGTTTTTAGACCCCTCATCCGGGTCTCCCTAACTTTTCTTATCCATTTCCCAGGTGTCATTGCCCTACCATACCCCCAATCGATCATGCTTAACCGAAATTGCTTTCTCGGGGTTCCTTTTCCTTCCGACTCCTATCCAGCCTCTTCCTCTTGTTCTCTCACTCGTGCGGACTTAGACTTGGAGGTGAGAATAGACTTAGAAGCTCGGTCCCCAACCACCATTCATCAGACAACTTTACAGAGGGAGGCACAAAAAGCAAAACTTAGGCAAACGTCGCACACAGGCCGGTCATCTCCTCACCGACCTTTTTCCCCAAAAATGGTCTCTCCACTGTTACTATCGGCAGGGTTTTAGCCAGGGTTGTCGACCCCCGGCCCCGGGACCCCGCCGGGGTTTCGGGGTTCCGGGGGTCGGCACCCGGGACCCCGGCCCCCTGTATGGGAAAAAAAAAAAAAAAAAAA